TGGTGGGATAACCAGCCTCCTCGCAAGAGGCGGTTACACTACAACACTAATCAGCATTCACTTACGTCATGCAGTTTCTTTCTCCGGGATCTTCCTTATTTCCGTGATGTAGTGATCCCGAAGTGCCACCCAAGGGAAAATCTGCCTGGAGAGACCCTGAGTCGCTCCATCCCACAGTCCATAACCACGGGCATATAACGGAGCAGAAGCTCCAGAGCAGGAAGACCAACTTGGTCAAACCCAAATGCAAGTCACTGCTTTTGTTTGCCTCACGTCACACCGCATGGCACACATGCACTTCTCATGGCGGGTGGTATTGCCTGTCAATTTACATTAAAAGGGAAATCAGATCTTTAGGCTAACGGTGTTACCATTTGTTTTTGAAAGCAAGCAATAGGCAGAGCTCAATTTACTCTGTGCCTAACCTAGAGTAAAACCTATTGTCAAGAAAAGAAGTACTTGCTGAGACAAGTATATACAAAAGAAAGAAGAAGCTGTTTTTAAGCAGCAGATTTGTCACTGTGTGCCCAGGTCAGCTCCCGTTGAAGTTTAAAGAATGGGGATGGACACTTGTCCGGGCCTGCAGTGGCCGGCTGCAGCAGAGGATGGTCCATGGAGGGGTCTGGCCACAGCATAGCCTCCCTGGCAGAAAGCCATCGCTTGCAGACACCTGACGGTCAGCCAACGCGGTGGGGCAGGTCAGGAGTCACTGGTGGTCCTGACCAGTCATGCAGCTTTGCTCAGGGAAGGAAAGCCTTCCCTCCCTGTCCTGATATATATCCCCTTGCGTGTCAGCTTAGTTTGTAATTTTAAGAGGTAAAAATGCTGTGGGAGAACTCCCTCAGACAAGTCTGTAACTACAAAGGTTTCAGAGGAAGAGAGAGATAAAAAGGGCAATCGAATGAAAAAGAAATTGAATGTGTAAAGTCAAATTCTGCCCAACAGAAGACAGGTCAGGAGCATTTGGCAAATAAAAGGAAAACAAGCATGTAATTTTTCCTCAACCTATAAAGAAAAAAAAAAAGACAACAACCCAGCAGAGCTCTGGCTGGAGCGCAGGAGCAGAGCGAGAGGGATGGAAACAGGGACCATGCGGGGGGGGGAAGCGAGTCCCTGAAACCCGGTGACTCCCCGGGTCCCTGCAGGAGGTGTAGCTGCTCCCCCACTGAGGTGCAACTCACCCATCGGCACTGTCCTGCAGCCCCCGGCGTGCGCTTTCTGCGGCGGGGTGACCCTGAGGGGCAAGCCAGACCCTCGCCTCGTGGGACTGAGCGAGGCCTGGGAGCCCACGGGCCAAGCCTTTCACTGGGATGAGATGGTGGATCCGCAGGTCACGGGCATCTTGCCTCGATGGATGCGGCCCTTCCTCTGGGCACCAGCAATAAGTTCTCGGGATCAGCCATCTGCCCGTGCCGCCTCTGAGACGCCTGGCCCCGAGGCCTCGCAGTCCCTCGGAATAAAGCCGTCACCTCGCCCCCAAAAGGGCAGCTTTCACCCAGCGCGGGGCGGGAAAGGAGCGTCCCGGTGCGCGCACCCAGCGGCGTCCCCCCGCCCTTGGGCAACAAGCACTTTCTGGAGTCACCTTTGGGTTCGGTCACATCCCAGCCTTGCAAAAGGCTCCCACAAGCCCTTCAGGAGGGGCCCAGCCGAAAGGCAGCCTGTCGCTGCAGAGACCCTCCCGCACTTCCCAAGCTCGGTGGTCTCCGGGGAGGGCTCTCAGCCACCCCCCCGCCCCAAGCCCTCTGTTACTCCCCTCACAGTCAACATCGCAGCTGCTGCCCTGCACTGTACCTTCTCCTTTCCCCACCTACGACCCTTCCCACCTCACACCACGGCCCCACACAACGCCTTTCCACCCTCTCTGATAAACGCCCAAGCCCCTGCTCCTCTCCCACCTCCCCGCCGGCAGCCCCCGAGCCAAAACGGAAACGTGTCAGGACCCTTTTGCCATTTTGTGCATGGAGAAGGGAGGCGAGTGGTGTGGCAGATCCCTTGGTGCCTTCTTTTCTGGTTTTTATAGGTTTAATTTATCTTTGGAGGCCAGATAGGCCTTGGCAAGAAAGCAGTCTCACACCATCTGATGCAGAGGACAACTGAGCAATCAGAAAAGCCAGTTTTCAAAGAGAAAGGGCTCCTGAAACTTCACTCTCGTCAGAGCTGCCATTTTACCACAAACATTTATACCATATTTTGACCTGAAAGGAGTCTATCAAGTCTTACGTAAAAGACTCATCCATCTGGCCTCTTCTTCACACTCTTGCATTGGCACAGCGTGCACCAGCAGCACACAGCCATGGCTTTTCTCCTACAGTCATCCACCAGCTGCCACATGGCATCGTAGAGCAAGAGACGTGCCGCAGTGGCACAACCAGAGACACCATCATTAGCAGGCTTTACGAGTGCAAGGTCCTCCCACAAGGCACAGCAGGACACCTGCCTTACCGTGAAACCTCCAGCGCCCATGACATCTTCAGGAGATCCACCTCATCTGAAAACTGGTCCCGCCCCATCGTATGGCTCCACAACCGGAGAGCCTCCCGCGCTGGAGCTCCGGGCAGGCAGCAGGTCTTAAAGGAGGGAAGGCAGGATGCAAGTTTGAATACAAAACTTACAGGAGAGTTAGGATTGCGCCAACAACTCACACCAAGGGGAGAGGGGTAAAAAGGGGAACGATCAGCTGGGGTGGGGGAGCTTAAAAAAAAAAAAGTAATCCTTGGAGCTGTCAGTGAAACGCTACTAATTCCCTGCTGAAGTCAGTGAAATCTGCTGTCTGCAGTTTTATCTGTAATACCTTAAGATGATTCTCACTTACACTCTGTAAGAGTGCCAAAAAAAAAGTTAATAACCAATGAATAGGAGCTGAATATAAATACCATTTAACTTACTACATTTTCTAGTATATACTTCCAAAGCATGCATTACCAAATGTATGTTTAATTTAATATAAACATTAAATACTTTGCTCTGGCATTTAATACATCCTTATGTGATATTATCATATATTATATATCTCTATCATCATGCACAGATGACACAGAAATACACACCAGAAAATGTTTTCCTTCTGGAGAAAGAAAAGAAAAAGCCCTACAAAAAAACCCCTCCCAGTTTTAAATTTAAAGTAAAAATACAAGTAATTAAAACCAACAACTACTGAATTGTAAAGTCAGTAGGGTAAAAACGCACACTGTTAATGATTACATGACCTATAGGAACAGATACATGTGGGTCCAATCTTGCAAAGCCAAGCTCATACGTGTCTTTATTCCCTACGCTCCAGGATCTGACTTCCTTATATACTTGTTTGAAAATAATGCTGCTATGCATGTGCTTAAATATGAACAGCTACACTGCCGAACAACTCAGGAACCTGCACTCCTGGGTTTTCAGAAGATAACTTTCAGAATTTATCAGAAGATATCATCTTCTGATACCAGAAGATAACACCTTTCAGAAGATGGTAGCTAGTGCAAACAGTCGAAGGCTGGTTTCCTAATTCATTCCTTATTTTTAAAGATGTCTTTCTCATATGTTTAACATGCAAAAAAATGCACATAAAATAGCCCCAAACCCTGTTTCTCAGGGAAATATCTACCTTGAAAATTCAAGACTGAAACAAATCACAGCAGGGTTATCAAGGTGCCCTCTTCTGGCCTTTAAAAAAAAGATTGTCTTGCTGTTACCTGGTTTCTTTGCTTGGAAGAAGCATCAAAATGAGCATCTGTTTGTGCAAATATTCCATTTATTCAACAAACTGGCCAGAAAAATACCACCACAGACCGTTCTTGATACCATACAAAACCTTTAAAAATTCTTCAGTTACATATGAGTTTATAAAAATAACTTACAACACTATTCTAGAAATCTCAGTAGAAATACAGGAATTTGTTACCGGGTAGAAATTCAGGCATAAGGCGTTTTGCCCAGAGGGCTGGAGAATTTACCCGCTATTCACACCACACCACTAAGCTCCCGAGAACCATTTAATAAAAGTAATCCGAACCTTTCTCTAAAACATAGGGAAATGAAAAAACAGATCAAAAATCACATTCATTTCCATTACAAAGAGACATTTTTACCATTTCTTGATAAATATGTATGCAGTTTATCCAACACAGGAGGAATATTCAAGAAAATGCATTTGTTATTTTCCATGGAAACCTCTGTTTTAAAAGTGTTTTCTTAATTAAATATAAAACAAAGCATACCTGGAACTAAATACAGCTTTTAGGCTATATCTACATAGAAGATTTTTCACTACTGGTTTTTGGAAGAGTTTGCTTGTTTGGGGGGGTGGATTTCTTTGGTTGGTTTTTTTTTTTTATTCTACAGGCCCACTAATCTGAAGGAAAGTCAAAGTGGTTCAAAGTGGCCAATTCATACCTGAAACGGTGCAGCATACGATAGCTCACCTGGAAAGGAAGAATTTATTCAAACTGAATAAAGTTCAGAGCTCGTGGAAGTATAATTCATTCCACACTGGAATTCTGTCAGTTCCAAATTGGATTAATTATAATCATGTAAGCTGCAAGATAAAGCTAAGAAGATCACATCTGTGTTATATGCACAGTTGTTACTGTCAGGAAAAAAACCCAACACCTTTCTGTTATAACAAGGCCTTAATAAAAACTATTTTTCTTTCTCACCAAGGAGAATGTTTTGACAAATAAGTTTCTCTAAAATAAAAAGTCACAACGTAGTCAGTTTGGAAGCGAAGAAATACGTTATTCTAGATGGTACTAAACTTTTTTCCAGGGATATCTTCTTCCTCGTGATCAAACACGTAGATACAATTTCCCCTCCACAGGCATGTAGGCTGGTAAAACGCATGCTCATGAGGAGACCTTGCAATTGCTGTGTTATAACCTAGTACACAGGGGCACTATACAATCATCTGAACTTGTGGCAATTTTCTTGAGTTCGGAAGTTCTTCGTTCAGGTAAGAAACTAGAGAGGAATAAAACCAAACCAAAACAGTTATTGTTGTCCAGCTGTGCTAGCAGTTCTTCCATCACTGCCCACCAGACAATGCAGGCTTCAGGCTATGATTTCATGAAAGCATTCGTTAAATGCCCTGCTAAGCAACAGCTCGATAGTCAATATTCCCATTGCGTTGCTAATTGCCAGCCAATCACCGCAAGCGCCCAACTCCCACAGTGCTCTTCTCCTTAGCATGAGGGAACAGTCTGGTTAAGATCTACACACTTCTGCAGACGACTGAGGATGACTTCTCCCCAAACCTTTCTTCTGAATTGCACAAGTCAAGACACTGCGATGAAAGTCAGTCTCTGGCAATAACAAGAATGGGGGTCTTTAACCTCAGCATCCAGCCCGAAGGGTATTTTCACCAGAACGCTTAGTCACGGATAGAGTGGTGAATATCTTAAGAGAAAGAAAAAAAGACAAATTTTAGTATGGCTAGAATGAATTTTCTCTTCTAGAAGATCAACTTAGGCATAATGCTCAAAACCACAGCCATTTCTTAAAGTAATAAAATAATAATGAAGAACATACATTTAAAATCCTTGCCACTAAATAGCACCCACGCACAAAAATACCCTTTGTTCTCTTCATTTACCTTATGGTCTTCCTTTTACAGTGGAAAAGAAAGAATGAAGGAAATCACATGGCTTTCTACCGCCTTTTGTCTTAATGCTCCTAAGCTTTTACAGTGGGAACGAGCTCAGCAATAATAAACTCCGGCCTGTACACCTAATGAGTAAGTGTCTTTATGGCTCAAAGGTAACTTCTCTGTTGGGAAAGTGAAGTTAACTCAAGGCTACGACATTTGGAGAGAACATAAATGTTGCCTCTGTACCTTTCTAGATATTATAGAAATGTGGAACTGATTGCTGATGTAGGTATTATGTCTGGGTTTTGTATCCTCTGGACAATAGCTAAGAAACACTTAGTAAACCCAGTTTGAAAAAGTCCAATCTTTACTGCTTTCAAGCCACATTAAAGAAAACAACATTTTCAAGAATATTTAATGTAAAATTAAAAGATATCAAAATTCAAGAAGAAAAATTCTACAAAACCTTGTTTAGTATTAGAACTTTACTATGCAAATAATTGCATAGTTTTGCATAGATATAATATAGAAAGGAAAAAAGGAAATCAAAAGCACTTCTATCTAAATGGTTCAAAGTTGCAATAATTAGCTATCATCAAAGCCATCTCTCAGGAAGAATAAACTTAGCACAGAGTAAAGTATATACACATTTCAGTTATGCAAATAACACTGAAGTATCTAAAGACAATGGGGATCTGAAAGCCCTACAGTTCTCTAAGTAGAAGCTTTGCTGCATTAAGGCTGCTAGCAGCTCTTCAGAGAACAACATCAATAAATGATATAGCTCTTCCACTTTCTATAAGCATGTAAAGCATTACGCACAAATCAGGAAGACAAACGCGTGTCTAATATATATGGCAGAAGAATAGCAATATATTTAAACTGTCGTGCATGGCTTGAGACAGGGCTTCTGATCCACAGGCTGACAACATTTATTATTATTTCACTTTCAAAGACAAAGATTAAAAAGCGCAAAATTTATCTGCTTTCTCCTCGGCCCAATTACAAGCTCTGGGTGTGCTTGCCAGTTCCAACGGCTGTGGGGACCACACAGCTCCCTAACTCCAGTAAGCCAGCTGGGAGTCATTTGATAATTACTGGAAACATGAGTTTTTTGACAGAACTTGTTAGTTATTCGAGTGAAGACAAAACTTCAGATCCAATGACTGGCAAGCCATTGGATCATTAGCTAACTTGAAGAATCATTCCAGCTTTCAGAAGACACTTTCTCTTCATCACAGATCCTCGATTACACACGCCTGTATTTCAAGCAGTGCAGTACAGTCGAGGCTGAGAGGTAATTCTCTGTAAGGCTGAGGTCCTACCAATCTGTGCTCACACTTATTTGTACTTTGCCTTGCAAGAAATTCCACTCAGAGTTCAGGCTTTCTGCAGAATAAAATGTTGCTCAAATAAGACAAGTGAAATCTGGCTCTAATTTGTAAGCAGTGAGAAATGGGACCCTCAGTCTTACAGTCTTCTTCAAGTTGAGTAATACCATGTTTCACAGGAGACTCTTTGAGCAATGAATTAGCAGCAATGCCAGTGAAGATGTCAGCATTTGACCCTGAAACACTGTCCCTTTCCTGCTTAGATCAGACTTCATTTCCCTTAGATTTTACATGGATGTAAGATAAAAATAATGCTGATATTATCCATCATTCTATTCATCCAGATATGCGCAGTCCTCACAAATTCCAAAGAATTTTTAAGCATTTTTTTAATCAAAGAGTACCATCTTGCACTTTGATTTTTGTTTACTGCTGAAGAGATTAAATTAAGTAACAGGCATAAAAAAACCTTTGAAGACTGGCACTAAGAATGATTGCTGTTCTCCGGAGCTTTTAAATAGTGTATTTCTCCTGAGCCAATTTCTTCCTCCCCCACTCAAACAAATATGATTATCTGACATTACCTCCCTAAATTATGTCTAATCATCATTCTATTCAGTTTCAATTTTAGCAGCTCAGATGTCCAGAATAAATTATGACTATCATCCTCTCTTCACACTGCATATGCTAATATCGCGCTTGAGTTCACAGGTTTGAATGCCTCACTCAGAGTCCCCCCTTCACAGGGCCCCTGGCAAGATATGGACCTGCTACCCCTCTTCAAGGGCTTCCAAGAACACTATTAGAGGACACTACAGAAAAAAACCCAGAATCTGTATTGTGGATGCTTTGAAGATGACTCAGATTGCTAGCAATCCATTCCATTAATGGAGTTCATACTATATTGCTTATACTGCATCACTTTGGAAACACAGAACAAGAGAAGCGGACTTCACTTCTGCAGGCCACCATCCTGGTGCTCTCTATTAAACTTTGTAGCTAACACATGCAGGTAAAAACACAGATTTTGTATAAAGACCTACAAAGAGGATATACAATTTTTGCAGGGATCCTTAGCTCATATAACTGGTCCTAATACTACTAAAATCAGTGGAGCATCTCCGATTTATACCTGGGAAGAGCTGTCCCCCACCCCCTAGAGAAAATTAAGCTCTTCATTAAAGAGGAACAGCAAGACAAACACAAGAAAAAAATGGTTGTGTGGCCTCATGTACTTCACTTCAAAAGTCAAGTCCTAGAGAGTAAAGGAGAGATCTTTAAAAGGGTAGAATTTAATAGAAATAATTGTCATGTAGCTGGTCCCCTTCCATAGCACCAGTTTATAAGCCTATTTTGAGTACGCATATCTAAAACAAATTAGCTTTGACAACCACTTTAGCAGAAATAGTATTTGAAGCCTTCATAAATGGATCTTTGAATGGGAGGAAAACTCTGTACTTCCCAGTAGAGGGAGCACTGGATTAGGGGAGACCGTAAACACTTTACAAATTAACACACTAAAAAAAAAAAATCCCAGATTAAACCTAAATGTTCGATTTCTAAATATTAAAACCAGATAATTTCCTGTCCTTCCCTCCCTCCTACATTCCCCCAAATTCTGACCTCTTTAATAGAGCTCTGCTATTCAGATTTCCAACACCTTAGCCCAGAATACTACGAAAGCTGAGATATGAGGTGACTTCATATACGAACCTCTGCACAGACGGGATGAATTCCTATGGTGCTGTCCAACTGTTCTTTTGTCAATCCACATTTAATAGCAGCTGCAAACCCTTGGGTGACTTCTCCAGCATTTGGACCAAGGACGTGGAAACCAATGACTCTCTCCTAAACACCAAAGGTAATCAAATACAAGCACAGTCATGCATTCAGTTCTCTTTAGATAACGTGTAAGATTTTCTTACTCAGAGTACATAATTTCATCAGTTCACAAAACATACCACAAATTAATATAACCACACAAATGTGAACTATCATTAGCACCAACAGATGAGCGATAGTGGGTATAATTTTGTTCTCTTTCCGAAAAGTAAAAGATTCAACCACGAACTCAAGAATCAGCTTCCTTACAAAGTTTTGTGCAGGAGTCCTCTGTTTACATCAACAGCATACAACTTTAACACACACCATGGTCTATGTTCGATTACAGCATATGTCCAAATTGCAAACGTGCATTTAAATTTTATTCAGGCACTATTCCACTCATTTCAACAGACTGCTTGCCTAAGTAAAGACGAGCACCTTGCACAAAGGTCTGCAGCATCAGGGCCTATGCTGGGCGGGCACATGGTGAGTATCTACTAAAGAAATTTCAGTTTGAGAGTGGCTTACGGGAAAGGGCCACAAGCTAAAGGTTCGGCTAACAGATGTAGCAAGAGGTCCATTGTAACTAAGCTGTTGCAGTGTTCGCAGTCATTGGAAGAGAATATACCTAGAGCCTGGCAAAACAAACTGAAAGACATCCAGTTACAAGCAAGATACTACTACTTCACACGTCTTGCATCTATACTACTGATCAATGGCAAAATACGTCAAACTGCACATATATCCTCAGCAAACACTCAACCGAAGTACTGACATGACCTGCTTTTCTTAAAGAAAAGCTTGCTTCTCTAAGGAAAGCAAGTCTCCTTTAGCGAATGCCAACTGCTGTGGGCTTCAGTGGCTTTCACGGCATTAATCAGGTTTTGCTGAGCATAGATGTAGCCCAGCTGGGTATCAAAAATTATCTACTCCTCCCGCTAAATATCACATATAAGGGAGTGTGGATATTCAGTACACTGAAAGGTTATTTTTCTTTCAGTAAGCCTGAGGACTGAGATTTACCACAGGGTTTATTTAAGTAAGAAAAGCTATAATTAGGTAATAACTAAAATGGAATTATCCTTATTTTCCTTTAAAAATATGTACTTATGTAAAAATAAAACCATAGTAAAAAACCTGGGGTAACTACAGTTTTAAATAGTTACTGAACATATTTTTCATCCAGGCTAACTTTCAGCTCTACCTCTAGATGTTTAAACACATTCCCAATTTTCAGGACAAGAAATGGAAACAAATTAATGAAACACTTCAAATCACCATTAAGCCTTTTCATTTTCTTAAGTAACTTTGGATTAGAAACGTAACCAGGGTTCCAAAATAGCTTCCACACTAGTGCAAACTCCTCCAGCAAGAGGAGATGGGCAAAACCAGACAGGTTTTCAAATTTTACAAAAAGATGACGTGATGCTTAGAAAGACTGCAGTAAGATAAATCTGTCTGATGATAAAAGGAAATAGATAAAGTAGATCCAAAATTTTGTTAGGACTGATAACTCCATGCCACTATCTTAACAGGAATACATCTTCACAGCCTATTATTTTTCATGATAATTCATATTATTAAAATCAACTAAATTTTTATTAAACAGATGATAATCATTCAGAGGGGGGCATACCAATTCTTTTGACCAATTAGTAATTTTGCTTGTGCTTCAGCAGGTACTGTACATTTCCATAGCCAGGAAGTTTTAACCTAGTCCAAGGATAATCCTGGCATTATCACCCTAAACGAGATTTGTGCAGGCAAGATACATTAATCCTGTTAGAACGAGATCAAGAGTTTTATAGACACATGTGGATTTGCAGAGGTTACAAGTTGTGATGGTTTCTGAGTGACATCAATTTCAGAGAGAAGAATCTCCCAGAAAAGAATGTCTCAGTTTGGGGAGGGGAGAACAAGATAAACACATAAGATTTCTAACCATTTTTACATGCATTGATTCGTTCACTTTTCAAAGTTAATGAACAGTCTTAGAGATCTCTACTTCTTATTTTACATATATGAAGAAGTACCATATACTGACAGCAACAACAGAATTCTCTATTTTACTGGAGGCCATTTTTGTATAAACAAAAGTACTGCATCACAAATAATATTTATTAAATTTCAAAAGGTAGAAAAATTTAAAGTAATTTTTACTTTGTTAAAAATAATCTATTTATAGCTGTGGTATCAATGGTCCCTATAACGAATAAGGCTGCTGTTTTCCCTGGAAGGAAAGATGCACTTACGTTATCTTGAATATTGCAAATTATCTTTGCATAGCATTTGTTGTTGTCTCTGGATGGCACAGTCCATTCCAGTGGCCAGAAATGACTATGGTACACCTGAAAATACAACACAGGTTAAAAAAAAAAGTTGTGTAATTTCACAGCAGAGAGCATGATCTTCCAAAAGCTGCCAGATTATCTTAAATTTGCCTCATCTACCTCCAAAGCGGAGCTTTACTACTGACTGCAATTGCTTTTGGAAATCCCACATGTAAAAACTTTCAACAATTGTAACGCAGCACAAGGATGAACTGTTAACTAAAAACTCTTCATCAGCCATGCACATGGAATTTGGAATACCTGAAATCAGGGTGAGACTC